CTTCTAGATCTTTAATTTAAATGCATTGCTTAGAATAATATTCTCAAAACCTTTTATTTTTCACCACATATAAAAAATTAAGTAAAACATTTTTGGCATAGAGAGTTATTTTCAACACAATAAGAAAAGTCAGGTTGACTACATTGTTTTTTATTACTAAGCACGACCTGTTCTCTTTCAATAGCTTAGTAGCATGATTTAACAGTCCTTAATAACAGAACTAATAAATGGTGTCGGCTAAATCTATCAGCACACATTGCTGCTGAAGGAGGACAACAAAGATAAGGCTGGTATTAGGGCTGCACGATTAAAATGTCATATTGATCAGTATCAATAGTTGCTGAAAAATATATATTTTTTAAACTGTAGAAAATATATTTCTACATAAACGTGCACAATGGCCATTTTATGCTATTCCTTAACTACCTAAAATGAATATACAGGCAATATTTTACTTAAACATGTTTATCTTACTAAGACTGAATGATTTCAGGAAAAGATTGAATTGTGATTGATTTTCTAGCAGAAATTGAGATTTCCATTCAATTCATGGTTTTCTTCAAATCAAGGTTCAGCTGCAGCACATTATTCATATTACATAGTGATAATTATAAACATGACAGGAAATGACTTCATCCTGGTTTCACCAGGGCTGCCAACTCTCAGGCACTGAGCGTGAGAGCATCTGACCCTCACCACAAGCTCTCACGCCACACATCCAATATCTCACCAATATTATATAAGAAATGTTAAATGGCCTACCTTACGTGAAGGCAGTATCATTGGTCTTTATAGGCAGACAACAACACCATCCATCCCAGTATTAATCAGGAGGGCTTTGATGGTATTAATACTTAATACCGCCCAACCTTACAGGTGACAGCACTAACAGATAGTGTCCTATCTGAGTAACTTGCTATTCTTTATTCAAAAGATTTAGATTTTGACTTTGAAAACAGGAAATGGCTCCTGTTCCTTCATGCTGGACAATGACATAAAGAGGCTTTAATATTTTTGTTTTAGCTCAGCTGTTTCCTGAAAAATTACTGGTCCTTCTAGTGCTATTCAAATGTCTTTTACCTGAAGAGAAGCAGGTTGAATTCACCAACCTTTGTAGAAACTAAGATGTAGGTTGACAGCTAGGTTTCTGTTGACCCTCTGACAGAAAGACTTCACCTTACAATAACCTACAAGGTGACACATGCGTAACTACATCCTGGGTGCAGGTACACAGTACACGGAACGAGGCTACTGAGAAAAGTAAAGTGGGAGCACCAGAGAAACAAGAACAGGCATTAAATATTCTAAATTTCCCTGAAACATGGTTAATGCATGTGTTTTTCCTTGATAGCTGTTATGTTCAAAATGTATTGAATGTCTTAAAAACGTATTGCAACATCTCATCTGAATGCCTGCTCGTGAGCGTGTAGCTTTTGCTTTTTTTCTAGACTTACAGACCTGCCTTTTATGTATTTGTGTCTTACTTTAACCATTTATGAACTGTTAGTATCATGTAAAGGGGACTAGTATATGCTACATTATACAAAGCTAACCTTGATCTGAGCCTACAGTCAACTGTAGGCCCCTGGGACACATCGCCATTTCACGTACTGCAAATGATGACAGCAAGCATTACCAAGATTGCATTTCTGTGGTTAAATGTTCCGTTAGCATGAAAAGGACCCGGCACACTATAGATGTAAATGCTGCCAGCCACTGAGACTTTTATTGAGAGTAGAAATAAGTATTTAATTCTCAGTTGAGAATTACAAATAGATATAATTAAAAAAAACACTCTGTATGTGAATGTATCTGTGTGTAATTGATAGATACGTATTTGTTTTATGTTTTAAAACCAGGAAGTTTAAAGATCTGTTGAAGAAGTTTTTAGGAAAAAATCCATCCTGAGGATCCATCTATTCACCACTTCTGTGAAATTCAAACTAATTTATTATAATTTACCTAATTATTTATTATTATTTTCTAAAACCTTAAACTCAAGTGATAGAAAGGGCTGCACTGGGGAGGGAGCAATGGAAGGAGAGGCTAATAACAGTTGGCGGGTTAGCAGGGGAGAACATTGGAGAAACCAGAGAAATTTGGCAGGCGATTGCGGAAAGTTATCATGGGGAGTGAGCCAAAAATCGGATTGCCCTCGGACAATTTCTCTCTCCCCGCCCTGATTCTCAAAAAATTCCAAAGTCCAACCCTGGGCAGAACCAGGAGGACATGCTACCTCACAAATGCAGAGATCCATACTGGAATAATCAGTCTTTAGGGCCACTTCTGAGCACCCAAACTCAGCTAAAATCATGAGGAAGAGCAGCCCGGGACAAATGCAGAGAACCAGGTGGGATTTAGCAGTCTGTTGGCCTGCTCCTGGGTACTCGGCCTTGGTCAGACCCGGAGGGGGGGGGCTGGATCAGAAAAACCAGGCATGAATTGCTAGAAAGGTTCATCTTCAAATGTACATTTCCAGCCACCTACCTCATCTACCTTAGCCACCTTAGCTTATCTAGCGATTAACTGAAGAAGAACATGGCCCCTTTGTGAACTTGCATACGTCACAGCAGACGTTCTCACAAGGTGATACCGGCCTGATTCCTTTGAATTTAAATGGAATTGCTGCCTCTACGTGCAATCGCTACAAAAATTACTGGATTCAATCGTAAGAACAGGAGATGAAAAAAATTGCATATAGATTTGGAAAACTATTTTATTTTAACCAAAATATACATAATGCGGCTTTAATCAACACAAACAAACTCCACCTGTTGTTTTGTTGCTTTCTTTAATTTACTTTGGCTTCATAGCAGGTGACTAGAAAGCACCTTCATTTATTTTTCATCTGCTCATTTGCTGGTATAATATTACATATATGCATTAAGCTCCATTTGTGAAGTCAGAACCAAAATGGCACCAAAGCAGACAAACGCAGCTTCAGTTATTAGCAGAGTCAAATATAATTTCAGCAACCCAGGCACATCTTGCTCATCATCACAATCATGTATATTTTTATTGTACTTTACTGCTTCAATGCAAGAAACATCACCTCAACTTGAACATAAAGTGTCTTGGTATTGATCGGTATTAATGTGGTAACATCTCGCAGAAGGAACATGAGAGGAACCTATCCATTTGCTGCCGCTCTCTACTGTTGTTGTGGAGAGGAGATGTTCTCTCTGAACCAGCAGCTTTTTCTAGAAACCTGGTGAAGTAGGTTTTAAACCCAACAGCTCAATGACATCTATTCTTGGAAACCAAGCAGTAGCTTGATAGCCTATCTAGCTCCTAAATGATTCATATCAGGCACCTGCTGACTATCTGAGGGAAATGCTAGCTTTCTGAGACAGAGTATACCCCTACATGGAAAGCCATGAGTAAATATATTACATAATACAAGAATATTTTCGTGCATTATACACTACTGTTGGGCACTACCAATAAACCCAAATAATAGGATTTGGAAATATGCATCAACACACCTGCAATTTTTCTTTTTTCCTCCCTTGGCAGAATTTGTTATTTGTCTGTTAGCCACATTCCTCAAAATGTCATACTTTTTCGTAAATAATACACTGAAGGTGATGAAATGTCTAGCTTAGAAGTAATAAACTTTTGATGCGGTTCCAGATGCAGATCTGTATCAATTAATTATTTATCAAGCCTTGTAGTTAGAGTGCAGTCTCTGACAGCTCTTCCTCGTGTCTATGATCAAAAAGGTTTGCTGAGTTTACTTAGTCTCCTTTGCCATTTATAAAACCCAGCAGAAACTGAATTACAGTAAAAGTAGAAAAAAAAAATCAGATTACAGCTTTAACATTCTTGTCTCTTTTGCTGTCAAAATGTAAAAATATTCCAGATCAAAGGGAATTCTAAAAAGAACTGACTTTAAAATATGTTGCACCAATATTTCCTGAGCTGATAATTTTACTGTCAGTAAACTTGAATATGAAACTATTTCTTTCCAATCAGCTTTTTGTGTGCAGATTATGTCATCTGGACTTGGTATTGGTCACCAGATAAAATAACAACTGCTGCTAAAAAGGAAAACATCAGACTAAGCCGTTAATAGATTGCAGATAGACCAGAAAGTTCTGTGTCCCTTTATCACCTTTAAAACATTTTGTGTACTCTATAACTTCATTTCTAAGCACACTGCATATGATAATGTTATTTAACAACAAATCTTCATTCTGCATAAACTATGAACATCTGAGGCATGATAATATTTGCACAAAATCACCTAAGATCTATGGTGCATTCATGAGCTGAAAAGTAAATCAAGCTTTTGTTTACCACAGCTGTGTGTTCATAGTCTTGGTAAAACTGGGTATTTTATAAATAACATATATCTTATTGTATAATATTTTATAAAAATATTACACTGGTCAGCTAGCAAAGAAAGATATAGTAGCTTGAGTAGTTTAGAATTTAATGTATTTTCATGACCAACTTTTGTAAGTATTCCTAGCGCCTCTACGGATAAAATTTACATAAAGACATTTAAAGTGTACAGATAAATTTTTCCAATTATATTTAAGAAAATTTTAATACAAATTTAGATTTTCTGCTCCTTCATTTCAGTCGTGTCCAGTTTGTGTTTGCAAATGCCAAAGCCATCTTCTGATTTGGCTAAAAAAGATGATGACAAATTGGAGGGGATGCTTCACTATTGGGGGGGGGGGGGGGGGGGTTCTGAGAGGTTTCTGTGGATACATTTTTTCATGCCTTTCTCAAACGGGATCCCCCTCCCCAGTGTGTTATTCTGATGCTGTGCTTACGCATTCAGCAGGTGCTTCATGCTGGTTATGTTAGTCTGCCCTTTCATCAGTGATTTTAATTTGCACAATTTGCACTACCGAAGTATTAATAATCCATGTGCAAATCAAGAAGAAATATATTGGCCATATAACGGTGATCTGTATGTTCAGCACAACATTATACACTTTCCTTAAAATTACATTCAAACACAATCACTGACAAATATGGGGACTCACCTTCAGTAGGCGATGTTTTCAATCTTTTACACAGTCCCTCTACTTCTCCGTAGTCCTCCTGGAGCTTGTGCTTAGCCTCCGCGCCACGCAGCTCCATCAACGAGCGCAGCTCCATGACCGTGCAGCCAAAGCCCGCTGCATGGCTGCCCTCATTTCTTTGGTTCTTGGCATAGAAATCGCTATTTGACATGTCCCCCATGATGTCAGCTAGTCAAATCAGTTAGATTTGGGTTTGTTATTGCTTATTGAACAAAGGATTCCACACCAGAGCTAAGACTCATTAAAAAAGAATCCAAATTTGTTTAGAAGCAGCCAACACTGACAAAAAGCAGTATCTCTTGTGGGTAAAGAAGGTGATTAGGAAAAAAAAAAAAAGATGGGGGGAAAAAATCCGTAAGGGTGAATTGATGAGTAGCCTCGGCTTCAGGACACACAGACCAAAAATCATCCAAGAGAAGAAACAGGAGTGGGGGAAAGACAGCAACGAAGCAGGGGGGTGGGGAGGGGGGATCAAGATGACAAATCACAAGTGGGAAGCATCCAGGTAAGCACTGGACAGCCCCAGTGGTTAGGTCCTGAGAAGGGCAATGATAGTGGTTTCAAGTCCTGTAGCTCTCAGGCTCACCACGGCTGCGGTCCAGACCCACTCCATGTGTAGCTTCCCATTGCTGCTATTCCTTTCTTGCCTCCGTTGCCTCTCTGCTTCTACATGGTGGTCCTCCCCATCACTGTTACAGAGAAAGAGAAAGAGAGAAGGGGAACAAATTCAAGAGATGAATTCGGAGAAGTGAGGGAGGAGCAGTTGGAAAGAGAGCACAGGAATGAGCGCTGTGTTCTCAGGGCAGGGGTGAATGCAGCAGTAGATGGTGCACAGCTGAAGGACAGCCTCTCCTGGTTACTGCAGTAACTGTGCCTCTGCTGTTTCTATCTACTGCTGCTGCTGCCGCTGCTGCTGGTGCTACTGGTGCTGCTAACCTCATTCTGAACACACACACTAACTGACAGAGAGCGAGCAAAGATATAAAAGAGAAGGAGAGATGAGACTGCTCCTTTCTGGTGCAGAGAAGAGAGGAGTTGAGCCCGAGTGGGAGGCTGGGGCTGCTCTGACGGCAAAGCGGAGATGCGGAACGTAACACTGCGCTGTCACTGGGAGGATGGGCTGAGCTGTAAACCCGCCACCACTATCTCACCAGTAAGTAAAGCTGCTGCTGCAAGTGACCTCTTCGGCGCAGTCTCTGTCTCAGTAACACGTTCCCCTCTATTTAATGTCTTCTAACGCTTTGCACTGATGAATTTACTCAAGCTCTGCGGCATTTCCTCTTGCAATAACATTTAAATCCTAAACTAAACTACTAAACAGTCTACTGCCACAGCACAGATTTTCTTGGAATAAGGCAAATACGGAAGAATTATTTCTATTACCGTAAGTTCAATTCATTCATTCATTAAAAAATAAACTCGGTATGTGTATTATGTCTAGATACATTATTCTAATGCTCAAAGGAAAGCAAATTTAACACAAAAATACAAGCCGTGTCTGTTTTATATAAATCTTTGAAGCTTTGTTTTTTTCTGTCATTCTTTTTCACAATGTTTAAAGATGAGTACATAGTTAAAAACATTTAAAGTAACATCAAAAATGCTTAAAGGTGTGGTTCAAAAAACATTTTTTAATGATTATTTCTGATTATAATCGGTCACTCTGAGTTTTCATGCAGACTGAACATGAAAATTGTCTCCTACACCTATCTCCTGCATTAGCTTCAGATATAAAATAGACCGTGAAACCCTAGGATTTGAAAGCCTGACAGTGTGACATCATGCTGTCACGTAACATTCATGGACTCACCCTTCTTGACCCGTGACAGGGAAGGCTGTTGTTCGCTTAGCAACCAGGAAACAGCAGAGAATGTCTTGGCATATTAGAAGCTAACTGTTAGCATTAGCAACTCCGCCACCCAGCAAAACTCCTCCAGGCTTTTGTTACTTGTGGAGATAGAACATCAATGTTGCAAAGTAAACGGAGTCAGTGGTAGAGTCACGTTGCTGTTATCCAATCAGAGGCGGGATGTCCAAACATCAGGAAATAAAACTCCAAATCTTGTCCTCTGAATCTATCCTCTGATCTGGCAATTTTCTCATTCCTGAAACAGGCACACCAGGACCTTTTGTGCCCAGAGTACAACTTACAAAGCATTCACTCCTACTACAGGCCACTGCAAATTAGGGGTAGACCGAAATATGGGGCCGATATTTAGGCCCGAGCAGCGAAAGCGCTGCGAAGGCCTCTTGTTTTTGCTCTGATTATTATTAGGCCCGAGCAGCGAAAGCGCTGCGAAGGCCTCTTGTTTTTGCTCTGTTTATTATTTTTCTTTATTATTATTTTTTGTTATTCTCGTGCCCCTTTGAACGGCTTTTTGGGGACCTTAGCATACCCCAAAACTCACAATATTTTGCAAACTTGTCAGGCCTGGTGAAAAATTTGATATTTTAAAGGTCCCAAAAAAATCGCACAGAAAATGACTGAACAGCGCTCCCTAGAAAGTGAAAAAAACCCCTCTCCATAAAGCTTAGTTTATCGTACAGTTATGAAATTTGGTACACTTGTAGTACTCAATAGTCCGCACAGAAAAGTCTCTTGCAAGCATGGTCAATATCAAACAGGAAGTCGGCCATTTTGGGTTGAAATGGCGATTTTTTGCCGTTTTTGCCGTTTTTAGGGTCCGTTTCTGATTGGATTGCTCGATCATTTTTCGCACGATCGTCTCAAAAATTGTGTAAAATTGCTAAGAAGGGATGGGCGAACAAAATGAGATGAGAATTCTGAGTTTTCGTATATGTTGAAGGGGCGGGGCCAGGCCTCGAAGTTTGACTACTCGCCAAAAATATTTAAATTGCTATAACTTCATAACTGAATGGAATAGAGTTACCAAACTTTCTGTGGTCATTCGTCATCCACCCACAAAGTAAATTGAATGGTCGGATGATGACATCACACAAGCCCCGCCCCCTCAGGACCAAAAAGATCAAGTTTTACTGTGAAAGGTCCCAAATTGCCCCATTTCACTTAATCACCACAAATTTGTAGCTGTTAACTCAAGACAAGTGGGGGTTGCTTGGCGTCACTTTATGGGAGTTTTCGGCAGAGGGCGGGGCTGTGGCGGCGCGGCGAAGTCAGGCGTACCGCCGTGGCCTTACGTTTGCCTCCCATTTCGTCATTTCCAAAGATATCGTCACGAAACTTCTTGTGAGTGATCCTAGTCCGGCCCCCCAAAAGATCTGATGTGAACATCTGGTGGGCGTGGCCTATTTTCTGAAATAGCGCCCCCTAGGACCATTAAAACTGTCAGCCCCAAGCCATGCTTTGACTGAGGATTACGAAATTTGGTACACTAATGTGGTGTCTCAGGACCTACAAAAAAGTCTCTTGGAGCCAAGTGCAAAGTCGCACAGGAAGTCGGCCATTTTGGTCCAAGTGCGCGATTTAGTGGTTTTCACACACGTTGTTTGGAGAGTGATACTCCGTCGCCCTTTTCACCAATCACTTTCAAACTTCTGCTATATAGTCTTAAGACATAGAGGAAAAAATTCAACCGTCGGATTTTAAATAAGTATAAAGGTGTGGGCGTGGCTAAGCCTCAAACTTTGACCTTTCGCCACGCCACTCTTTTTTTCACAGCTCCTTATTGGACTCCTTTTACCCAATCACCAGGAATCTCTGGTAAATAGCAGCAGGCAAGTTGAGGTCACTTGGTCTCCAGTACTGGAAGGTTTTGAAAAAAGGCGGGGCTTTGGGAGCATGGCGAAATTCGCCATCACGCCATGGAAATACGTTTGCCTCTCATTTCTTCATTTATCGTGATATCACCTCGACCATTGTTGTGAGTGATCCTAGTCTGACCCCCAATAGAAAAGGTCAGCTTAAGTTTGTGGGCGTGGCCTATTTTCTGTATTAGCACCCCCTAGGACCATTAAAACTGTCAGCCCCAAGCCATGCTTTGACTGAGGATTACGAAATTTGGTACACTAATGTGGTGTCTCAGGACCTACAAAAAAGTCTCTTGGAGCCAAGTGCAAAGTCGCACAGGAAGTCGGCCATTTTGGTCCAAGTGCGCGATTTAGTGGTTTTCACACACGTTGTTTGGAGAGTGATGCTCCGTCGCCCTTTTCACCAATCGCCTTCGAGCTTCTGCTATATACTCTTAAGACATAGAGGAAAAAATTCAACCGTCGGATTTTAAATAAGTATAAAGGTGTGGGCGTGGCTAAGCCTCAAACTTTGACCTTTCGCCACGCCACTCTTTTTTTCACAGCTCCCTATTGGACTCCTTTTACCCAATCACCTGGAATCTCTGGTAAATAGCAGCTGACAAGTTGAGGTCACTTGGTCTACAGTACTGGCAGGTTTTGAAAAAAGGCGGGGCTTTGGGAGCATGGCGAAATTCGCCATCACGCCATGGCAATACGTTTGCCTCTCATTTCTTCAATTATCGTGACATCGCCACAAAATGTCTGGTGAGTGATCCTAGTCTGACCCCCAATAGAAATGGGCATCTGAGATTTGTGGGCGTGGCCTATATTCTGAAATAGCGCCCCCTAGGACCATTAAAACTGTCAGCCCCAAGACAAGGTTTGACTGAGGATTACGAAAATTGGTACACTCATGTAGGGTCTCTGGCCCTACAAAAAAGTCTCTTGGAGCCAAGCGCAATTTCGCACAGGAGGTCGGCCATTTTGGTCCAAGTACTCGATTTAGTGGTTTTCGCACACGTTGTTTGGACATTGATGGACTGTTGCCCTTTACACCGATCACCTTCAAACTTATGCTATGTACTTTTAAGTCAAAGGGGAAAAAATTCAACCGTCGGATTTTAAATAAGTATAAAGGTGTGGGCGTGGCTAAGCCTCAAACTTTGACCTTTCGCCATGACATTACTTGACTTAATAACTCCCATGTGCATGATCAGATCTAATTCAAACTTTGTCTGTGTGATCACTGACCACATCTCAAGACAACGACAATGTGGACAGCTGACATCACCTAAGCCCCGCCCCCTGACAACAGGAAGTCTATTGTTTTATGGTGAAATGCCCATATTTGTCCCCTCTAATTTAATGAAAATGACACTCAGGTCATACAGTGTCTTCATGATGTTTTAAAGACCATTCAGATCTGATAGCTTTCCAGAAAGGGAGGGGCTTTGATGCCATGGTGAATGCTGGCGTGACGCCATGACCTTACATTTGACTGTAACTTCCACAAACGGCCTCCGATTTGCCCGAAACTGAATATGGCAATGAACAATCATGCCCTTTAGCCAATGAGGCACAAACGGTTGGTGAATGTTATATAATGTCACCAAAGCTGACCTCAATGGGACTTTTCTGTAGTTGGTCACAGCGCCACCTAGATAACGTTATCCTTCCATAACTTTAAAAAACATGGTCAGAATAGCATTAAAGTTGGTCACTGTCATCACACCACCAGTGTGGTAAAGATAGAGGATTCCCTAGTGGTGAGACATAAAATATAATGGTGGGCTCAAAGGGGATGCTGAGTCAGGGTGAGTTGCGGACAAGGTGGCCGTTAGCAGTTTCTGGTGTTGGGGTGGTCGACGTTTGTGTTCTGCGGACGTGCCCTGGTGCCCCGGGCTGCCGGCCAGGCCGGAGCGGCGCGGAGCTGCGAGGGCCGAACGACGCTGCTTGCAGCTTTAATTAGGCCCGAGCAGCGAAAGCGCTGCGAAGGCCTCTTGTTTTTGCTCTGTTTATTATTTTTCTTTATTATTATTTTTTGTTATTCTCGTGCCCCTTTGAACGGCTTTTTGGGGACCTTAGCATACCCCAAAACTCACAATATTTTGCAAACTTGTCAGGCCTGGTGAAAAATTTGATATTTTAAAGGTCCCAAAAAAATCGCACAGAAAATGACTGAACAGCGCCCCCTACAAAGTGAAAAAAAACCCTCTCCATAAAGCTTAGTTTATCGTACAGTTATGAAATTTGGTACACTTGTAGTACTCAATAGTCCGCACAGAAAAGTCTCTTGCAAGCATGGTCAATATCAAACAGGAAGTCGGCCATTTTGGGTTGAAATGGCGATTTTTTGCCGTTTTTGCCGTTTTTAGGG